ATATATATATATATATATATATATATATATATATATATATATATATATATATATATAATGACTAGATTTGACTTGAGTTTTTAGAATTAAATGAATTTTGTTCAGATGAATGGGATCAAATTAGTTCAACTATGATTTAATTGAACATTAGATTATCCCTTGATTCTCTTAAATTATCATTTACCTCCTTCACTTCCACTCTCTCCTCCATCGTCATATTCTTTTTTTCCCACTTTTATTATCTCCTTCCCCTCCCCCTTTTTCCTCTTCCCCCTAATCTCATCTATCTCCCTCACATCCTCCTCCTCATCCTCTTTCTCTCCGTTATCCTTCCTCTCTCTCCCGCCCCTTCTCTTTACAATTTATTTGGATTAGTTATTACACTTCATTTACACTCATTCATAAAATATATTAAGAATATATTATTTTTTTTATATAAAAAATATTCTAGATTTATAATTTTTTTAAAAAATAATCTTAAAAATATATTAATTTTTATATAAAATTATTATTAATTCATTATAAATTAGAAATATGTTCTAATTGTGCTAGAGAAATTTGAATTGATTTAATGAAAATTAACTCGAGTTACACTTGATCATATATTCAACAAAACTAAATCCTTAAACGGATGGTACTATCACCCATACATCGAATATTGTACTATTCAATGGTATTGTCTAAACTCGTAGTGAAACTGCTCAAGGGTGAATACCCTATTTGAAAATAATAATAATTATAAATTCATAAAAATAGAAAGGTGATACTAGATATCTTATAATAACATTAGTAGTTTTAAAAATGTTTGAATTAGTTTGTTGAAAATAAACTCAAGTTTCACTTAGTACATATTTAACCTAAAAATATTTTATTTAAAAATTTATCACACTAAACTCATAAGCAATTAGAAAAAAAAATGATGTGATGTGCTTCTAGTCTCACGTTAGTTTAAATTGGTTTGATAAAAATTAACTCCAATTATACTCAAGTTACACTCATCACAAATTTAACATAAAAATATTATATTTCAAAAAATTAATCGCCCTAAATGCATATATAAATAGAAAAAAAATGATATGAAACATTAGCATCTTACCTTATTAGTTTTACATAAATTTGTATAAGTTTGGTGAAAATTCAAAGAGTTAGTTACACTCGATTACAAATTCAATCAAAAAATATTTTATTATAAAAATTAATTAATTTAAATTTATATAAAAATAAAAAAATATTAAACATATTATCATCTCACCTTGATAGTTGTAGAAAAGTTTAGATAATTTAATTCAACTGAGCTGCACGATGATTTAACCTAAAGATGTTCTATTTAAAAATATATTCATCCTAAAATTATAGGAAATTAAAAAAATATCAATATCTTATAATCATGTGTTGAGTAGTTTTAAAGAAATTGGATTGGTTTGATGAAAACACTGTATGTTACACTTGGATTACACTTTCCTGGCATATTCAAGAAGGTTCAACTTCACCTATTGCAATCAGACCCGACCCAATCTGAAATAATATATAATCTGAATTGATTTAACCTAAATCATAATGTTTAAATTAGACCAATGGATTTGTGGCTAAAAAAATCTCGATTTAAAGGTATTATCGATATTTTTAAAAAGTGATTCCCCTTCATAAAAATCAATTATAGGGGTGCTATATGATAAAAGTTCAATACTACAAGTTTTTTTCTATAAATTATATAATAAAAATATTTATCTAAATTTAAAAATTTATGATAATCAAATATTATTATTATTAGCGATCGGAGTTTATCAAATAATAATATTTAAATATTTCGAGTATATATAATATTAAATTTGATACGAGAGAACTCCATAATCGCGAAGCCAATTTGAAGTGCATTAAGGAATCGTATATTCTTGTCGGTTGCTACAATACGTCGAGCGTATCCGACGACGTATGTTCCGTGTATAGGACTGTTAATGGCAACACTGTAATATAATGGAACTACACCCGTCGACTTAACTACCGAACATCAGGCGCTCTGCTTCGCCTCAACGGTGCCTTTCTCTCTCTTGCACTACTCCTCGACTAGGGCTTCCTTATCCCCTATTCCACTTTCCTCGAGCTATTGCTATGCCTCTCGAGCAAAGCCCATGGGATCTCCGAGATCTAGCTCCAGAGTGTCTGGTAAGCTCTAATGTCTCCGCTTAGAGCCTCGATCATGGCTCCATGGTTTCTTCAAGGGGTAGGTGTTGGTGCGGTAATCAAGCGGATCTCGGGGACGCATACGATGAGAAACCTCGTTGAGTCGATCTTGTAACCGTTATTATTAAATATTATATTTAATAATAATATAACCGTTCTCATTAAGATTCATAATTCATTATAATCAATTTCTTCATTTATTATGTTTTAAATATTTTAATTTTTCATTCTAAATGTAATCATTATTATTAAATATTTAATATAATTAAGTTATTCATTATGGTCCAAATGTTATAAATTTGAATTAATTCTTGAACGTTATGAGTTGGTGAAAATAAATGTTCTTGATGGGAGAACATCTATATATATGAGGATTTTGGTCCCTGGGCTCAATCATCTCTTTAAAGCAAAAAGGATTTCCTACACCATCTAAAGCGAAAGTTCTGAGCCGAGAAGTGCCAAAGTTCAAGAAGAAACCTCTGCAGAAATTCTTGACAACAATGGCTGGAGGTACGCTATTTTGTTTCCACATCAGTTTTTATTGTGTTTCCATTATAATGATTTAGAAATACAAGTTGCCTTCAATGATTTCTTACATTTGGTATCAGAACCCATTGACCTCTACCTTGATATGAAAGAGTTTTCATTTTTATGCCATGAAAATGATTTGATTTTGGTTTCATCTCGAAAAACTTCTTGATATATTTTATTGAAAATCATTAGGAAATATCATTTTCAACATTTTTAGTCGGTAAAATGCTCATATTACATATACATATTTAGTTATATAAAATTATGCTTATGAGTCAATTTTTTATGTTTAAAATGTATAGTGATCCATATAATCTTAATTAATTAAAAATTAGTCACAACATCCTTAATTAATTAAAATTATATATAAAGTTAAAATTATATATTAAGTAATTAGACATCATATTGTGAGTGATTATATTTCATATAATAATTGTTATCCCACAGGATCTTTTAATATATTTAATATAATTAATCAGGATAAAATATCAGATTATTTTCGTAATTTACCCACAGAGATTATGAATTGAAATATAATTTGATAGTTTTATCATAAAGACCATTTGAATCTATTTAAATTAAGAATTTAGCCCACAAGCAATTTTTATGTCATGAGATTCATATTTTTTGACATGTTTCATATTGGTGAAACATATAATTTAGTCTATTAAGCTTCAAATATTGACATAAGTATGTTTGATTTTATGCAGTTTCTCAAACTATTAATTTCTCTGATATTCGATGTGATATTCCCGAATTTAGTGGTGATAACTATAAGATATGGAATGAGAGGGTTCTCCTCCATTTAGGGTGGATGGATATTGATTATGCTATTAGGAAAGACGAACCACCTATAGTCACTAATACCGGCACTCCAACTGAGATCGCATTATATGAGCGATGGGAGCGATCCAATCGACTCAGCCTGATGTTTATCAAAACTAAGATAATTGTTGGCATACGTGGTTCTGTTGACTAACATAAAAATGTCCGAGACTTGCTACAAGCTATTAATGAGCAATTCGTCACTTCGGATAAGGCACTAGCAAGTATCTTAATAATGAAATTCTCATCCCTTAGACTTACCAACATAAAGGGTGTGCGTGAGCATATAATGCAAATGCGAGATATTGCGTCTCAACTTAAGAAACTCGAGGCTAATATGTCAGAATCCTTCCTGGTGCACTATATTCTAAACACCCTTCCACCTCAATATTGTCACAGACTTAGCTGGTTTTGCCTAAGTCATGCGGCACCCTTGCATGTCCGTCCGCAAAGGTCAGCCTCCCCGAAGCCTCCTATGGTCCTTTAGGACCCACAAAAGAGAGAACAGGATAGAGAAAATGCCTCACTCGGGATCCACAAGCAAACATCTCCGAAAACACTTCATAGACAATGCAAATTACAAATAGACTTTACAAGCTCTAAACAGTTGCACAACAAAGGCTAAAATGGTCCACTATAGACCGAAAATCTCTCACACGTGTCCACATGACACAACCTTTATTTACAAGCCTAAAGCGGCCACCAACCTAACTAAAATGAGACAATTAAGCCTTCGACCGTCCCTCTACATGCT